TTGACCGACCATGTCGTGGCAGTTTTGCTGCCTCTCCTGATTCATCATTCTGGCTCCACACCTCCTGCAGTTTGAAGTTTTTTGTCACGTTCCGGGCAGGAGGCTTCTTGATAGGCCCTCACTCGTACTGTTTTTGCCTGCCACTTTAAGTCCTAACGGCCAGATCTTGCGTCATTTGATATGTTCTCCATAGGAGATAAAGAGCCCTTGTAATTTTAGATCCCTACTCGTGCCACCTCAGGTGTCGTGAAGTCTACTACGCTAATGCCCACTATTTACGTCACTGACAATTTTCCAAGAAATTCCAATTAATCACAACCCCCATCAGTTTTGCTTCTATTCTGACGATATGCTACCCACAAGCTGGGAATAAATATTAGTATTACTATGTTATTACTAGTTCACGAGATCAAACGCAAAGGCTAATCGAAGCATATTTTGTTCTCCAAATGGAAAATAATGTTTCCGGAAATTTCTACGTGATTTCCATCCAGGTGAATAGTGAATAGCACGATATGCTACAAGCTGGGAATAAATATTAGTATTACTATGTTATTACTAGTTCACGAGATCAAACGCAAAGGCTAATCGAAGCATATTTTGTTCTCCAAATGGAAAATGATGTTTCCGGAAATTTCTACGTGATTTCCATCCAGGTGAATAGTGAATAGCGCTTATGTGCTCTATGCTTGTTGAATGTAACAAATTAAATGAGTTTGTTTGCCGAATTTTGGCACAACACGGTATTTTGGAAGCTGGCACAGTGCGATAAAAGATGACCTGATGGAAATATGCAACCCCGTGAACGATATCCACTCACGGCTTTGCATAGTCAGAATATAATGCATCACTCTCAGACATCTACGTGTGAATCACCATCATTCCACTGAGAAGTCATCTTATTTTGGGGCATGAGGCCGCTAGAATCACTTCCGAAATCCTATCCAAACTATCCGTTCATATGGGCGACCAAAGCAGTAGATAAGGTGCCGCGGACACGGCATGAACTGCGAATTGAAAGATTTACTCCTCGTTGCTCCACTAACAGATACCGTCCAATCTAAATTAAGCTGGACGTTATTGCCACCACTTCGTCTTCCCCCACTCGATTGTCAGAATATGAATTTCCGTCATCCTTCCCACCACCGTGTCCAATGAAACGACTTGAGCCAAATACCAGCGCTCAAGCTCGCCTTTATTCAGGGCCGACTGATAGAACACTCCGAGTAACTTCAGACCACTCGGTGGTACTAAGCGACACTCCCTTTCCTGTCCCACTCAGCAACTTCGCTCCCTCTTTCTTACTTGGATAATCTCAACTTTACACCAACTTGACAGACCTCAGAGCTCGGGTGCATAAGGTGGGAAGCAAGTGAGTATTCTGTCAAAGCACACAACCAATCGCATGTCTTTCAACTCCCGATGCGATGTACAATCCGTTACACGCAGCGAACACACTTGCCTTCAAGATTAGTTAGCGTGTACGAGGCCGTCACCTAGTCATAACCCACAACGTCACTGATCGCACCCAGTCAAAGCTCACAAAAACTGCTACCCTGATGGCTTGAAAAATGCTTAACAACGCCTCTGCGGCTCGTTGGCCGTGAAAGTTGAAACCATACTTGCGTCGCCCAATGTCAGTTCAGTTATGGTATGAAAACGCTGCAGTACATTTGCTAACATCCCGGGCCCTTCACTCTTTGTCCAAACATTCCAAACCGTAAATGTCGAAGTTGCTCATACTTGGTTGCAAAAGCAGTCTACGAAAACTCCACCCTCCAAGTCCCTGGAGTTGGACATTGAAAACTTCTAAACCAATTCTTTCACTTTCACAAATCTGCAGTAATCAACACTCTCGACACCGCTCGATCGCAAAATTTACATGCAATCAGCTTAGGCAAATAAGCAAGCCGGGTCGCCGTTCGTGCATGTGTGCGGAGCAGCTGAAACGCCTCTGCTTAAATAGCAGCGTGCTGAGTTTGCTATTCGGCCCGGTCTCTCACGCACTCGCATCAAATTCTGTTGGACCCTCAACCGTCCAAGACAACAACAAACCCTACCCCAGGACAGTTGTGCTCCTAACCTCGTTTAACAATGCTAGATATGACACATTATCTTAAGTTACCCGATACTCTGTAAGCAAGCCGGTCGCCGTTCGTGCATGTGTGCGGAGCAGCTGAAACGCCTCTGCTTAAATAGCAGCGTGCTGAGTTTGCTATTCGGCCCGGTCTCTCACGCACTCGCATCAAATTCTGTTGGACCCTCAACCGTCCAAGACAACAACAAACCCTACCCCAGGACAGTTGTGCTCCTAACCTCGTTTAACAATGCTAGATATGACACATTATCTTAAGTTACCCGATACTCTGTCATCGAGGCTTTAAGTTTGCCATATTGTGGCTCCGGCTCGTGCCATCGTGCAATACAACCTCATCTATCGACTCCAAGTCCCATAACCCTGGCTCATTTTCATGATCTCTCCACTTCTATATTTTAGCATCTATACCACCCCTGAAGCCCATCATGCCAATAAGACTGGCTGCTTGTATTTCCGATGCGGTATCCCACCAGCGTCGACATCACGATGCGGTCGAGGATGGACATCACAGGTATTCCACCAAGACCTCCCAAAATAATGGCAATCCATATCCCTGACCAGAAGGCTTCCTCGGGCCGAGAGGCCGGCTGTCACAACATCCTGTCGTAATGCTCTCTCGCACACTACCCGACTATGATTCCGTCCTGTGCCCTTTGTCTCCTACCCCAACCGTACCCCTAATTCTGCGTAAACACATTTTTGATCTCCAAAACCCTGCAACCAATTCCCTTAGCAGGATATGTAACCCACAACTGCCACCACTTAATCTTAGTCTCTGCCAAATTCCGCTACGCTCACCACCCACATAATATTTGCCTGAGATCCTTTTTGGGCAAGTCCTTACTCAATTCCGGCTTCTCCCCTCAGAAGCAACGTGCAGCTAGACTTCCTCGACCTTCGAGTATATCGCATCTTCCCATCCCAAAGCCATCCTTCGCTACGACCAAGGCAGATGATTCCTGTTCACGCACCACAGGACCCATTCCCCTCTCCAGGTTAATTGATTACATCCTCAGCTTCTTCGCACCACCATATCCCATTCCTTTATCTTGCGCCTCTTACTGCAAGCCTCTTATATCATTTCTTCTAACCAGGTATACACCTCTTACTTAAACACTGTACTGACCATCCCATCTTCGTGATCTCAAACCAGGGATTTCTATTCGGCTGCCACATATGGTGCCATCCTCTGGTGCAATTGGTACAGCGGTTATAAGCGATCACTGGACTAATCTTGTGACCCATTGTCCACGAATTCACGAAATCTGCAGCCCCACCCCAGCAATGCCTCTGTGTCCATCAAGGTACGTCCCATTATCTTGTTCTCCTCATCTACAACTGTTAACACCTAACGCACCGACTCGAGAACTCCCGCTTTCTCTGTCTTTATCCGATTCCACGTTAACGCTCATAGGCTCATCAACTTCTTACAAACTGTAGAAGACAGCTTGCTAATAATATGCTCCGGTTTCCAACCCCAAGTGACAGCCAATCCCCATATTTATTCCCCTTGACGAGATGAACTGAAACCTCCTTGTTTAACTGAACTATTTTTATAACCCTTACGGACTTTGGTCGGACTTTGTGATTTTTGCGGTTGCTCGCTGCCGATATCTGTTTGGTCGTGACAATATCGATTTTGAGGCGTAGTGATCTGCGCTTTATCCCCAGGCTGGTAATTGTACCGCCCTATCTTTGTAAACCTACGGTATCTGCAGAGGGGAATCCGTTGGGGTTTGTTGAATATGTATATTATTATGTTTGCGATAGTCCCGTGATTCCAGGATTCACATTTCTTGGTCGTTTTCCTGGATTGGCAGGCGTGACTCAAACTCAGAAAGCAGATAGTCGTAACAGTACTCAACGGAGTAAGGATCTAGTACACAACGATCCACGGACGCAGTACTGAACGATCTACGAACTCGGAGAAGATGGAGAATGCCCCGTCAATGGACCTCTATCTACCGGAGAAATCGAGGCAAGTCGGCCGTTCTGGCAATCCTTTAGCTATTGGGTCATCTCCTGGCTCTGACTCATCTAAGCATAGAAAAATAAAGTCGGTTACGTTATTCCGAGCGCAGATTAAGGCAGAGGAAATGGAGAAAGAATTGCAGCTTATACGGGCGCGTAATGAGGTGCGTCTAGCGGAGTAAGAGCTGGATTCGGACGATGATGCCGTGGTTAACGTGAAGGTTGACCCGCAGGGTAAGGTAAAGAATTACCTAGCCGGGATCGTAAGTAGCAGACTCATATGTGAGGCACCAGCGGTCCAACTGACTTCTTGCGTGGTTAAGGCAGACCCACCAGAGTAGACTTAGAGGCTTTCGATGGCAACCCAAGGTGTTATTTATTCAACAGTTCAAATACTACATGGAGGATAGAGTGCAAGATAGTGGACAGAGAATGTTATATTTTATTCATTACTGCAGGGGTACAGCGAAGGAAGCCGTGGCTGAATGCGTAATGTTGCCCCCGAGATTGCTTATGGTAGAGCGAGGGAAATAACTAGGGAGCTCCTTGGGAGAGAACATATGGTGGCCAGAGCTATACTGTACATTCTGTTCAAGAAATTGAAGTCGTTGCATGACGATGCAGATTCATTGTCTCGTTTGTCGATAAATCTTCAAAACTGTCACGTTGCTCTGAGTCAGATGAATCACACTGGTAACATGACTTTGGTCTCGACCATAGAGCGCATTCTCCGCACGTTATCGAATGATGCTCGTCAAAGCTGGGCAAGGTTGACTGACTCTATGGACAAGCTCGGAAAGCAGATAGGTTTCTCTGACCTGTGCAACTTCGTTGTTCAAGAGGCCCGCATTGCACGCAGCCGCTATGGTATGCTTACCATAGACTCAGAACAACATCGTCCTCAAACGCGGCATCATCGGGTAGGCAACGAAAGGCGCCATAGTTTATTTGCCGTTCAGACGTTAACCGATGACTCGTGCCCCTTTTGCGACAGAAGGCATGGGCTGGCGCAGTGTCGTGGGTTTACTGACCTGCCAATGCAAGCAACATGGCGTGTGGTGAGAAGGAAGCGGTTATGGCAACATGGCGGTGAGAAGGAAGCGGTTATGTTTTGTATGCCTAAAACCAGGCCATGCCAGTAACGAGTGCGATTCTCCTAAGAAGTGTGTGTGG